TTTTGTACAATGTTGCATACACACTATACTACCACGATGATCAACATATTGTATGTGTCAATGACATTACTCATGCTATATATATTAAATCATACAACTGGCACTTAAAAATATATGGAGGCTGGGTAGTATCAAATTCAACATTTTCTAAAACCTCTTTTAACGGAATCCAATCCAAATACATAAAAAGACAACATCATATCTAAACACAAAAATAACAAATTAGAAGGCAACATTCCTATTCTGTTCAATGAATTACACTTTCAAATTAACAAACAAGTTTTTGGAAAAAAATTCAAATGTCTTCTAAGTTTAAAAATACCACTAACCCAAATATAATCGTTCCATCATGGCTCAAGCCTTAACATAATATTGCAACCTACGTTAACTCAAACTGCATTGATTATATGCACTGTGAAGCCTTTGTTTTAACATGAACTAGTGAAAGAAATTGTGTCATTTATACTATGTCTGGGTTGATGAATATTGATGGCATTTAAGAGGTTGCATTTTTTGGTGGTAGGTTAGACATCGAATATTTAGAAATACATTATTGATTTGTGGAATAATTTAGGGTTGAAGAGCAGAGAGATAATTTACCTTGACCCCATGACAAGTTGCACAATGGTGGAGAGGTGAGGAAGGCAATAAAGAATCGCGACCACGATGACGAAGATTTGGAGGCGACAGCTAGATGAAGCAAGCTGATGAAGAAGCAAGGTGACAGCTGAGATGAAGAACCCTAGTTATTTGGAGCCATTCGAGTTTCACAGGAACAAAAAAAGCATACGCTAGATTTAGGTTTATTATAAGAGAGTCAGGGGTAAAGTAGTCATTTTCAATTTTTTATTATGTCTTGTCTTATATCCAAACACAATACAAGACACAATACATCATATTTTGTTCTCACTTCCAAACACAATACATAGACACAAATATTAGTGTCTCTGTCCTTCATTATCTAAGTGTCTCTGTCTCCAGTTTCCAAGGACGGTATCCAAACGCTGTCATAAAGACTCTTATCTCTCACATCCCAAAAGTGAATTATCGTAGCAATTTTAAGGAATTTTAGCTTATTAGCCTTTGTAATATCCTTTACAAAATTATTATAAAAGTGCTTGTTAATAGGTTTAAATCTATTCTTACTTACTTCATCGGGCATTTCTAGAATAGTTTTCTCCTAGCTCGAGGTACTAAGAATAACACAATTATTTTATAGAAAATCTTTTATATGATGGCACAAGTCAAAGAGGAGAAAGAGGAATGTTGCCTTTAAATTAGACCTACAAAAGGCTTATGATCACATTAATTGGGGATTCTTAAGGTGTACCCTCTTAAACTTTGGGTTTCCAAATAAAATAGTGGTGACTCTTATTATGCACTGTATTACTACTTTATCCATGAGTATTTTATGGAATGAGAATAAACTTAGTTCATTTTCTCCAAATCATGGTTTCACCAAGATGATCCACTCTCTTCATATCTATTCTTTTTTAGTATAGAGATGTTGGCTTTTACTATAGAATATTTTGTAAAAAATAATTAGTGGCAACCAGTTAGGGTTAGCAAAGATGGCCCAACTATATCTTATTTACTTTTTGTTGATAAAGTGCTTTTATTTGCCAAAGCTAAAAGCTCTCAAATTAGAATCATAAAGGAACTTCTTGATTGGTTTAATGTTGTGTCTGGTTTGAAGGTTAACTTATTAGACTTATGCTTCAGCTGATAGCAATGGTCGGAAACAAGTTAAGTTTACCTCTATCTCAAGTATTTGTTTTACTTATTTCCTTGATAAGTATTTGGACTTTCCAATGATATTTGGTAGAGTGAAAAGAACACATTTTGACTTAATTGTGGAAAAAATTTAACATAAGCTTGTTAATTGGAAGTCTACTTTCTTTAGTAAAGTGGAGTATTTAACTCTAGCTAAGTCAATTATTACGGCGATACTAACATACTACTTATAACTATATTGACTACTTGAATCTATTTGTCACTCAATTTCCTTTGGAAGAATATTGATGGAAAGATGATTAACCTAGCGAACTAGAACACAATCACTCGTAGAACCCAAGATGGTAGGCTTGGTATGAGAATAATTAGGGAAGCTAATGTGACTTTATTAGGTAAAAGAGTTTAGGATATGATGAACAAAATAAAAATAAAAAAACAAACTTTAGGTCCAATTGCTTGTAAAAAAATATATGAAAGAAGATAATTTGTTAGATCATAATAAAGATGGAGAATCTCACTTTTTGCAAGCAATCAAAAAGGTCAAAAATATTACAAGGGATGGGTTCACTTTTTGACTTGGTAATTAGTAAGTTTCCTTGTGGTATCATGATTGGTCGAGACTGAGCAAACTATGTGACCACACTTCATATGTCAACATTCAAGATATAGAGTTGCATATTAAGAATGTTTAGACTCTTAAGGGGTGGAATTTTTGTCAAATTGTCACTTTAATACCAAAATTAAATACTTCAATCATTCATCATTCTAACTTGTCAGTTAATAGTCATGTTAAAGATAAGTTTATTTGGTCAAGTAGTTTGGAGGGAAGTTATAGCGCTAAACATGGTTTTAACTGACTCGTTGGTAAGAGAACTTTGTACCAGTACATTAGTTAAAGGTGAATTGGTGCCTTCCTTATGCAGAAAAGATTAAATTTCTAGTTTGACTTATTTGTTGCGATGTCCTTCATAAATTACTGAAGACATTATAGAAACTTGGTGCCTTCACTCATTTGCTTGAGATGTCATACTTATATTGAGAATACTCTTCATTGTGTCAGAGACTATCTGGTTGCTAAAGAAATCTGGGTTCGTGCAAGTCTATGGAAAGAAGGATTTATAACTTCTTTTGATGCTAACAACTGAATTATAACTCAACATAAAAGCAATTATCCCTTATTTCTAACAATACACATGCTAAAATCATAGTCAAATTTTATAGGTTAAAAATAACTTAGAATTTAAATATTAGACATCTCTTGTCTTACTCTGTCTCAACAAAGGTCATAAATTTTGTGATGAAATTATTTCACCTTTCCACATTTGAGATATAAAGGAGTAGCTGGAAAAAAAGGAACAAATCACCGACGGATATACCTTATATTAAGGTAACACATGTGTTAATTTCTTAGTTAAGTTGTGAGCTTCTTTGTATTATACTTGAAATTTCTTCTTCAAATTAATGTTAGAGGAGTCCCATATTTGATATTGTAATTTTATCTCTTTTTTATTTTCTTTACTTTTTCTCTACCAAAAAATAATGAAAGATGAATATATTTATTTCATAATTGTTGATATTTCTAAAATATAACTTTAAAAAAATACGGACAATTGATTATAAATATTTCATAAAAATTATTAAAATTTATAAAATAAATATTAAAATTAATATCATGAAATCAAATAACTTTTTAATTATTTTTCCTAGAAAATATATAAATATTAATAATTAATTAAATTTAATTTATAAACATTGATTTAAAAATTTAAAAAAATACTATAATAAAAAAATACAAATTAATATATTTATTTCATAATTAATGATATTTTAAAAATAACTTTAAACAATATTTACAATTGATTAGACATATTTTATAAAAATTGATTAAAATTTATAATAATTATAATTAATATGATAAAATTAATGAGAACTAATATGAAAAAAGATACACATAAATAAGTAAAATTTGTAAAATACTTAGTTGTATATTATATGTAAATTGATAAAAAAGTAATATTTTAATTTTTTTCTATTTTCAATTTTTAAATATTGTTTTGACAAATTTAATTCAAACCAACAAATATATGTATTCTATTTTTATTTGTTAATTTATGTAAATATTTATTAATTATTATATTTTAAACGTACATTTAGAATTTTATTTTTTATAAAAATATTTCAAACAAACAATATATCTATTTATATATCCATGTATAATTCACTAAAAATCATTATTTATTGTTTTACATATTTATATTTATATAACTTTATTATGTATAAAGCAAAATTATAATTAGTTTATAATTATTAATATTTATAAAAAAACTAAAAATTGATTAGATTTAATTCTTTCAAACTATCTGATTGTTATAAAACCTTAAAAACAAAAAATATATATTACATGAATATTTAAAACAAACATGTACAATACACATGCATATTTAACAAATTTTGCGTATTTAATTTATTTTTAATTTATTTATCTATATATAATTGACTACAAATTATCATTTAATATTTTACATATTTATATTTATATTAAATATCATATGTATAATTTAAATTATAAACATAATTAGTAAAATTCATAAAAAATTAATAAAAAATAATTAAATTTAATTCTTTCAACCTATTTAATGGTCATGAAATCTTAAAAATGAAAAAAAAATTATATATGCACTATATTTATATGCATAATTATATATAATTTTGTAAACTAATTTATTTTCAAACTAATAATAATATAAAATATATTATATTTTTTTAATATATTTCTTAATATTTAAAATACTATTCTTTATTTTTAAAAAATAATTTAATAAAAATATAAACAAACTCAAACAATTGCACATGCATATTTAATAAATTAATTAACTTTTTTTTAAAAATTATCATTACAAATAATTTTAATATTCATTAAATAATAAATTAAATACTATTTAATTTAAATTAATTTATATTTAAAGCAATAAAAATTATATTATTATTTTTTTATAATAAATTATTTAATATTATGTTTACTACTTAAATAATTAAAATTGAAATATAACATTTATTTGATGATAGTCATGTGATCGTAGTTGAAAATGGTTGTTGTTACTTTGGTTAAAAATTCATATTATTAAGCATTTTCTTTTATTTATGTATCATTTAAAGTATTTTGCTTTTATGAACAATAAACATCTAATAAAAGTTTTAAATTCTCTTATTATTTTGTAAACAAAATACTTATGAGCAGATAGAAACAGGGAAATAGAAAATTTGATACAAAACAGTTTTGGATTTTCTTAATTGGGCAACAGCTTTGATCTCGTGAAGTGTCCACACCACCGCGTCGCACCACTGCGCTTGCTCTCTGTTCTGCTGTCCACTCTCGAGTGGTCTCTGTTTCTGCTTGCTGGGTCTTGAGAGATCTTTAACTCTTCAATTGTCAACACCACTTACCTCACAGGTTTCGTGGTTCAAGGTATTCCATTTCCACCTCAACAATATCTTTTACAATATTCTCCCTTCCTCATGCTATCTCTCTGTTGTAATCAGACAGAAAAGTGATAATTAAGGATTCTTGTGAAAAGACACTGCCCTTACACAACACTGTATGTTTGTGCAGTGTGTCAAATCAGCATGAAATAGTAAAATGACAAATCTGTGTTTGTGTTAGCATTGCTCAGTGTGAAAATTGTTGGTTATCTTTTCTTTTGGAGTTTTTCATTCTTCATTACTTTTTATTCGGTTCAAAATGGATTTTCCTATGTACATTCCGCTGCATTTCATTTGCCTTCACCTTTATGCATTTTCTACTGCTTCCCATTTTAATAATCTGTTGAGACCTAATTCTGTGATCCAAACTTGTTAGCTTCGTAGATAGATAAAATGAGCCTCACCGCTTTCGGCTCCATTTGTTTTCACGGAGGCCACTGTTGGAACAACCCCAAGGTACTCCTTTTCTTATTTCAAAATATTGTCTTTATTTGCTATAAAAAGTTTCATTAGCAATAGTTATTGTGGGGGGTAATTGCTTGTGCAATTTTTTTTTTTATTTAATTCTGTCAATAGTTAATTACTTAAATGTGGGTGATTCTCCAAATTTATGTTGTTGGTATTACTCAGGACTTCAGAAAGGTGTCCAAGGTGAGAAAGCAACAAGATGGGAAGCTACTTGTTAAGTGTTCGATCAAGAGTGGGAACCCAACTTCACAAAATACTGTTCGTGTTGGTGTTCTTGGAGCTAGTGGCTACACTGGTTCTGAGGTAAGTTACATAGCAACACCCTTAAGGGTATGCTTGGGAGTTGGGTTTTGAAGGAGGGGAGAGAGTTATATAATGTTTATAAAAATAACTAAAAGAATTAATACATTAAGCTTATGCTAATTTATCATTTTACTTCATTTGTTTCGAAAAATTAACAAATTAGAGAATATTTATTAGAAATAAAAATTTTCTCCTTCCCCTTCAAAACTCAACTCCCAAACATACCCTAAGTTGTGCTTGGATTAATCGGTGGAAAGTTTCAAAGATGGAAAAAAATTAATAGAGAGCCAACTAAATGTGATTTTCAAATTTCAACCGATGTTATTTTGGCTCAGAGTGAGAGGTTATAACTGCCTTTTTCTTTTTTTTTTTTCTCTCATGCTTTTTTATACAACTGAAGTGTAAACTCTGAAGTGGATTTCATTTGAAATGTTGTATTTCCACTTTTCATGTACTCAAGCAAGCAAGTTGATGTCCCTGGCAGTTTAGATCTGGTGTTACTATGTTGAGAGATTGTGGTGATTTTTTTTATTAGGTTCTCAGGCTTTTGGCTAATCATCCACAATTTTCGGTTGCATTGTTGACTGCTGACAGAAAAGCTGGGCAGCCAATCTCATCTGTATTCCCACATTTGCGCACTCAGGTATGTTTGGTTTTAGATATGATGCCATGTGTTTGAAAAGATATTTTTGTTCATTCATAGTTATATTGTGAACGGGTATAGTGTGCTATCTGTTTTCCTTCTTCTGAGTGAAATTCATATACCTTTTCTAGTTTTCTATGATCATGGAGGTTGGTGCTAGCCTCAATCATCATTTTCTTGAGCAATCCTCACAGCGTGATTGTGATATATGAATGTTGATGCATTGTTGCAGGACTTGCCAAATTTGATTGCAATAAAGGATGCAAATTTTTCTGATGTGGATGCTGTATTCTGTTGTTTGCCACATGGAACTACTCAGGTTCTTTCTTATATCTTTTGAATTTTATAATTCCCTGAATTGGTCAAGAGAGGACTGGATATAGTTTATCTTTGTCCAAAGAAGAGGTGCATTCAGCAGGAGAGTTCATGTTATTTCAATGCTTAAAATTATTCCTTAGTTTATCTAGTTGTTTCCAGGACATAATTAAAGGCCTTCCAAAGCACTTGAAGATTGTTGATCTTTCTGCAGTAAGTTTTGAATAAGTGTTGTCTCTTTTTTTCAAAACAAAAAATCATTACGCAATATAAATGAAGTTTTGCTTCATTTCAGAACTGTAATTGGGTATTTTGTAGGATTTTCGTCTAAGAGATATTTCTGAGTATGAAGAGTGGTATGGTCAGCCACACAGAGCACCTGATTTGCAGGTGGGATGCAATTACAAAAGGGTTTCATTTATCTAGGTCAACTTTTGTTTTCTAAATCAATATAGAACATTTTTCACTATACTATAGGCTTCTACGTTGTCTTTCATTTTGTTGAACCTCGCTTAGCAAACTGTTTAACCTCTTATAACCTATAATTTCTAATGTATATATTTGATGAAGTGCAATGCCATCACACTTTATGGACTTGACATAACTTTTATTTCTGTTCATATGTGGCAGTCTTAAATCTCAAATTGAAACTATCTTTCTTGTTTTATAATTTGATTGTTAGTGCTGAATTAATTTAGTTATCTGTGTCCAGAAAGAAGCTATATACGGATTGACAGAGGTTTTAAGGAAGGAAATCAAGAATGCATGCCTAGTTGCTAATCCTGGTTGTTATCCGACTTCTATTCAACTTCCCCTTGTCCCTTTGATAAAGGTTAGCGTGCTTATTTTTCATTATACAATGCATATGTAGAATAAGTGAATTTTCCTTTATAAAATAGTATAAATTTGAGTTCCACTGATTCTGTTCCATGACTGTGACTTGTTTTTGCTTTGCCTGTGGCCTGAAATTTATAGTGTAGGGTGTTAAACCTGATGTACCCTTCACTTTAAGTAGATTTCTTTGGTGTTCAGTTCATGACCTGTTTAATGGAATCAGTGTTTTGGATATGTAAAGAAACTAAACGCTCCAACAATGTCTAGTTTATAAGAGTTACCTTTTTGTTTTGATTCCTTTTGTTTGTCCTTGTTGATTATTCCTTATCCTTCGACAGGGACGGATTCAAAGGGGGGAAATGGTGGGTCCTGGCCCCACTCCCAAAATATATTTTGAAAATTATATATATGTAGATAATTTTAAATGTTTAGTAATATAATTATGTATATTTATAAGATCATCACAATTAATAGATAGCTAATTTTTTTAGTATATTGACTGTGAAGGAGATTGTATTTATTTTGATAATATATTAATCTTAGAAGAAATTAGTCTCTTACAATTAACAAAAAATATCTTTTAATACATTCAAAAAATAGAACGTGCATTGAAGTTTATCTATTTTTTACCCTCCCCCCCCTGTCATTAGGTTCTGGATTCGTCCCTGTCCTTCAACCTTTTGTATTTCTATCTCTTTCTCTACATAACTTTCTTATTTTATCAATGTAAAAATTATTCATATTTGCATTAATTCTATAACCTGACAACTGAGCATTCATAGTAGAAAGAAGAGAGGATTGAAGATGTGTTGTCATCCATATAGTTTGCATTAAAAAAATGGTGTGGCAATAGTGAGATATTGCTGCTATACTCTTACAGCTATCTTGTGGATTAATGGAAAATGTCCAGGATTCTGAATACTATATTAATTCTGCTTTTGGGTTTGCCCATGTACTAAACTTATTTATCAAGTGTGTCTACCTTGACGGATGTACTCAAGTTGCCAAATGGGATGAAAGCATTGTCCAAGGACTTAGGATCAACTTTATACTTCCTATTTTAAAAACTGATTTTATGATGCGGGGATATGAACTCAACTTTATACTTCCTATTTTAAAAACTGATTTTATGATGCGTGAAATATTTCATATCCCCTTTGATTTTAAGTTTCTTCTTTCTGAGTTTTCTGTCATGCAGGCTAATCTTATTGAGATTAAAAATATTATCATTGATGCTAAATCTGGCGTGAGTGGAGCAGGTTAGAATTTTTTTATGCATCTTTAAATATTTTCTTGCTAGTCTTTCACAAAACATTCTTAGCACTTGCTTCTCATTTGTAAGCAATTCTATTACTTGGTTCTTGTTGCAGGGCGTAGTGCCAAAGAAAATTTATTGTTCACTGAAGTAACCGAAGGTCTCAATTCTTATGGTGTTACCCGGCATCGCCATGGTAAGTTTAATTTGCTTCTTATAATTTGGATTTATGTATTTCGAGTCTTGCGAGTTAGGAAGCGCATTTAAAATGTCACGGTGTAAAATACTTTTCTGATAGCTACACTTCCTAGACACTTGTTCAACACATGTCAAACACTTCTCATTAAGTGTTCAATTAAAAAATAATTTTTTGTCAGCTTAGACACTTGCGCCGACACCTTCATCCAGCTTGGACTCTTGATCCAACTCTTTAGTGTAGATGGACACATGCTAGGATTATTAAAAGAAATATTTTTTTAACATTTTGAAAAGTTAGCTTAAAATATAATGTAAATATAAAAAAATAATGCCTTTCAATTTTCTTATAAGGCTTATTATCACAGAAAAAGATATGACACTTAGCATATTGGTTTGAGAAGGTGGATTTGCCTTGTTTTGGGTTTATTTTAAGAGACCAAGTGCTTATATTGTAAAATAATGTCCCTTAACACCTTTTTAAGAAGCTTATTGGTGTTGTTCTTATTATTATGATTTTTCAAACGTGTGCTCAAAAATATATGTTAATATATGGCTAGTGATTTTAGTAATTAGGGACAAATGGCATCTGTATTTGAATAGGTCTAATTATCCTATTTTGTGGTATGCAGTTCCAGAAATTGAACAAGGACTCGCTGATGCTGCAAGTTCAAAAGTAACTGTTAGTTTTACTCCACACCTGATTCCAATGGTAAGAGTAATGCCTAGAGTTGTATCTTCTTTATTCTTTTTCTTCAGGTAAATTAACAAATGCTTCTTTGCCATTTATTAGAGTCGTGGCATGCAATCAACTATTTATGTGGAAATGGCTCCAGGAGTGAGAATTGAGGACCTGTACCAGCAACTGAAACTCTCATATGAGGTTTATCCTTTTTTGTCACTACTTGTCCCTTCGTCACATATAGATGTTATTACCACTAGTTTTCAAAAAATGTTAAGTATGAAATGCAGATATGCAGACACGATACAAAGAATGCAGATCTGTAATTGGTACTTAATGGTTATTCACTTATTCTTCTTTGTTGAGGAAAACATTTTCGTCATTGCCATCATATTGTTTGAGACCTCAGAGTCTCTTTCACCTATAAGGCCTTTTCCTGCCCTGTTTCATGGGGCTGTGGAATGTGCATAACTTGATGGATGATTTATTGCTTTATTAGCCTACTTTCCGGTTCATGTTTGAATTTCTTGGATTGTCTTTCTTTTCTTCTTTCTTATGAATTTCAGGATGAAGAATTTGTTGTGGTGTTGGAAAATGGAGACATTCCTCGAACTCATAGTGTTAAAGGATCTAATTACTGTTTGATCAATGTTTTTCCTGACCGAATTCCTGGAAGAGCAATCATTATATCTGTAGTATGTTAATTTTTTTTTCTCCTAAATATCCACAGCTTTTTATATGAGATATTGTATATTTAATTATCATCTTATCGTTGCCATGACTCTAGGATGTTGATGTCTTGTTGCAGATTGATAATTTAGTGAAGGGAGCTTCAGGTCAAGCTTTACAAAACCTAAATCTGATAATGGGATTTCCAGAAAATTTGGGGCTTCATTACCTGCCTCTGTTTCCCTAGAGTAGTTACCTTTTCCAACTAGAATAAGCCAAAGACTTTTGTTGAGCTTATTTGTCCACGGCATCTATTCTTCCGTGTAAACTTAGACATGGGTATTTTCAGCTTTGCTTCTATTAACTTATGCCAATAATAGTGGTGCAGCATCAATGTCTTGGATAGAGCTCTAACATTGTAGTCACAGTTCCACCACAATACTCGATGGTCAAGAGGAAATATTTTCAAATTATGTATTTTCATCCCCAAGATTGCATTTTGAAATTCTTGTAGATTTTAGAAGGGAGTTCCTCATAGTCAGAAGGGATACTAAAGCATATCACAATCTCCCTGTTTCTTTCCTTTTCTTGGTCTAGAATGCTAGAATAAGTCATTGAAGGTGGTGGGACTTCTAGTTTTTCAAGGATGGGTTTTGGTCTTTTTGTATTGCCAATATGTTTAGTGTGGACTACGAAATCTTCATCTCAAGTTTACTTTCCGAGATATGTTTCAATTTGACTTCCTGCCTATTTGGTTTTCACTAAAATCACAGCTGCAGAACAAGGAATTGGTTACCGCGGATCTTTTGTGTTGGATTGGATTTAGTTTTGTGAGATGTATGAAGTACAGTGAGATTTATAAAGTGAGAAAGTGAAAACTTATTCATTAATTTGAATTATGTATTTTATAATTATAATTTTAAATCAATGATGAGAAGATCTTTATTTTGTCACTTCAGGTTTCTTTTCATTTGAGTTAAATCCTCACTAAACAGATTTTTCAGGTTAAAATTAATTTTAAGCCCTGCATGATTTTACCCAAATTTATGAACAATTTTCCACTCTGAATTCACGACAAAAACAGAATTTCAGGCACCCGAAAATCTTAACAAAATTAACTTAAGTAGGGGTTTAAATTAATCGATTTTTTTACATAAATTTAAATTAATTTATGCTTTCTAATTTTTTCAGAAGTGTTTGCATCTAATTTTTTTTATAAGCACTCTATAATGTAATAGAGCTTGGCATTTTTGCCTTGGAAAAGATTTTAACTACAGATTTTTACTATTGAAAAGCTTTCATAAGTTGGAAATTAATCTAAACATAGGCTTAATGTTTGAAGGATTGACAAAAAATAGTATAAAAACTCACACTCCTGATAACGTAATTAATAGTATTAAATAATAACTTATGTATTCACTAAAAATTAATTAAAAAAAAACTATTGATGCATAAATTTGCATCTCAAATATTTTTTAGATTAATTGTGTGGAATTATATACATTTTTCTAAAAATCTTTATCGAATCATGTAAAATTATATATTGCATTGCCAAGACTGTATTATAAGATGTTCTACTTGAGTTTTGGACCACTTATGATGCACTTGTTATGATTGTTTTGTGAAATATTTAACATTTATATGATACTTTTATATTTAACTCTTCTAAAATGAAGATGTATAAAATGAAAAAGTGGGGCGTGAATTACTATTAATTTGAATTGAAATGATTTATAAATATAACTAATTGTAAATTAGTGAGGATTAATCTCACTTTGCTATTTGCTATTTTAGAGAAGTCAAATATAATATTTTACATTATCATATTCAAGGGTTATTAATATTAATTAAACTACTAGTGGTCGGTGCATGTTCGGATGAAATTATTATTACCAAAATAATTGCTTATTTTGTAAAAATTCACTCACAAAGCTATACAAAAATAAACAATTATTTCTTAAACATATACTAAGACTATCATAGACCAAAAAATAAAATAAAATAAAAATAAGAAACTTATTAAAAGTATCATAAAAAAATTAAACTCTTCTTACACTAAATAAATACGCAAGCAATTATTATTGAATACATTTAAAAAAATTATACATCCTACATTACAAATATTGGATAAATCACTTACATACATTTCTTCAAAAGCTAATCTTACAAAATATAACAAGCATAAATAATAGAATACAAGTTTAAATATAATTTTTATCTTAGTATTTTAGCTTTTTCTTTAGTCCCTCTAAGTATTTTTTTTTTTAGCTTTATTTTTTATGAATTTATAATTTCTTTCATTACTGTAATCCAATTAAAAATTTATATGTAATAGTCTTTTAATGAACCACATCAATGATGAAGGGTATAAATAAAAATTTACAAAAATATAGAAATAAAAAAAATCATGCAAAGAAATTAAAATAAATAAAATTCACAAATAAAAAAAATATATTTAAGCCTAAATTATAAACAAACGGTTGTACAGACATGTTTATTTGATTTTTAAAAAGAGTTTTCTCTTTTTAAAAACTAAAATTATATATATTAAACTCTTTTTAAAAACTAAAATTATATATATTTTTAATTTTTAAAAAGACAACAAACATGTATCTCTAGTTTCTAGTTTTCACTAAAAGAGACCTAATACCTCGTAGTATGGGTTACTTAGCTTTGCACTTAGTCTAGTTGGCTCCTCCTCCATCATGCTATCTTAGTTGCAACCTCAGCGAAACCCACTTGTTGAATCTCAATCCCCTTCCCAAAGGGTATTCGAATTTGGTTTCAAGTTTTTATCTTTCGACTTCACAAAAATGTCTCTTCCCTATCCTTCTCACCTCCTCTCTGCCACTGCCTCTGCTCGTTTCCAACCCTTCACCTTCAACAACACCGTCACAATCAAACCTCACTTTTTGGTATTCAAGGTATTCCACCTACCCTTTTCAACATTTTCTTCACAATATTCTTGTTGTTCATATTCTGTTGTTATCTGAAAGGAAAATCACAGTTAAGGATGTTTTTAAAAATAACAGACAAAAAAGACATACCCCTTAATCTACACTGTCAAATTTGTGCGCTGTGCAGTAGTCAAATGACAAATGCCCGATGAATGATCATTTATTTTTTTACTTTTTTATTTGTGGGTCATGAAATTTGTAGTTGTGTATTGTGTCAAAGCAGATGCAGTAGTAAAATGACAAAAGCAATGTGTATTTTCATTTTGTTTATTTATTGTCTATGTTTTGGGGGGTGGGGGCTCAGAAAATCTGTGTTTGTGCATTTGCATTACTCTATATGAAGATTGCCAGTTATCATTTGTTTTGGACTTTTTCAATTTTGACTACTTTTATATTTGGTTAAAATTGGGTTTTCCTGTGTCCATTACACTGTCAAATTTAGGTCTGGTTGTGCTTCTTATTTAAAATTTCTCCTCTTTTGTTGTGGCAGGGTACCTCGTGTTTTGTTGAGAAGCACACATGCTGCTTAAGTGTTAAAAGATTTTGTGCATCTGGGAAGACAGGGACCAAGATCTCCTGTGCTATGAATATGTCTGCACAGCAATCAGATGATCATGGGAAAATGAAGCTGGACCAATTATTGGACAAAGCACGAAAGCTTTGGGACAGTTCTCCCGAGCCGGTGAAGAATTTCCCCTGGAACAAAGCTATGGACAATTTCATTCAACTTATTATTGACCTGATTTTGGTTGTTGTCAAATACCTATCTGTACCTGTATTCGCAATTACTTCCCTCAGTGAGTTATCCTATTGTGCGCATGAAAAGAAGTTAGTTCTTGTTCCTCTTCCAGTTCTCTTTGGAATTTCTGTTGCTGGGATCCTTAAAGAGACTTTCTTGGAGTTATCTCCGCGTCTAAGGGTAAAATCATTACTTATGCGTCATTTTATGACATGGTTGTCAGATAAATAAGTTCCATGTAGCATTGAGCTGTTGTTATTTTAATATTTACTTTCCCACATTCAGAAAGAAACAGTCATAATGCTTGAGCTCTGTAGATTCATGTTTTCTTTCATTCATGTTGTAAAAGATTTAAACTGCCAAATTCCCTGCAAATGTGGAATTGCTAATAATGTAGCATGTTTCTTTTAAAGTAGTTAATCTTTCCCCACTTGATGGTTTTTCTTTGCAGATATTTGACTGTCAAGTGTCGATTAACAATATGATGACTGCCTTAGACGTTCATTTATTTCCAAATTCCAATTTAGGCATCCAGCATTTATTAAAAATTTGGGTTCAAGTTGACGACATATTTTGACAACTAGATGCTTGCCTTATTTTACAGAGGCAGGTTTGATAGGGACTTATGTTGGTGTTAATATGTTTTGAAATTATCTTGATTGGTTATAACATAGGAAAAAGAATGAGAAACTCAATCTGGTGATCTCCCCTCCCCATATGCTATAGTGTAGCTTATGCTTGTTTGACGTCATATATACTGTAGCTTATGCCTGGTCTGGTTTTCAGGATGCAGAAGTTCCATGGCATTTAATTGCCATTGCAATTTTCTTCACATTGATCAAATTGCCAGGTCCATATTACCCTTATTGGGGACGTATATTTATTCCTCACTTTGCAAATGGGGTTCTGTTGAGGGCTCTATGGTTTGCAATATTGTGGTATAGAAGACCTAAAGCATTGAAGATGTCAGATTCTGTAGATGATAGTTAGTTAGCCCACCGAGTTATGCTTCCAGCCTGAAATTCCATCTTCAGTTGTAAGTAATATTAACTCATCGTACAACTTATTATCCTAAATCCACTACATATATGAAATCTGGGATTACTGGGTGTCTATGCAAGGCTACAACTTGTTCTCTTGTTTGATGAGTAAACGTGTGTTTTTGGAATTTAACGAAATGAAAATGCTCAAGTCCAACTCACATCTAGTTTTGTCACTAGCTCCATTTTAATAATCATTAATGATTTAATTTTGCTTGGTTAAATTTTTTTGCAAGCCTATAATTTAACCGAATTATAAAATTGGGCTCCTATTCTTCCCCATATTTTGATTATGTTCAAACAAGTCTTCACTCACCAATTGTCATCAACCTTTTTGAAAGCTTAGATAAACTATACAATTGGCATTTGTCGATTAGGTCCCTATAGTTTTTTGAGTTTTCAAACGTGTCCCTATAGTTTAGCAAAGCTTAAAAGGCCAGTAATAAGGATTTATCTCAAAAATGTTGAAAATATAGGGGCCCAAATATGGACTTACTTTATAGAGACCTAGTATACAGAGTAATTTAACCTTTTTTCCTACAAGTTTGAATTATTAAATCATATTATCAAAACTGTTATAATTTTGTAAAGAGAACCCACTATTTTCAGTATTTTGAACTAAAAGTACTTCAAAAATTGCTGTTTACCAGATGTTATGCAACGACCAAAAATCATCATTTCAGGACCAATTTCTTGCTTCTAATACTTTGAGAACCAAAGTAATTGTTCCAAAAGATTTTGGTCGACCAATTTATAAAATTTTATTTAATGTAAATTAGGCTTGCCTACAGAATCCGAAAACTTGATATTTGAGTTCTACTCGGTTATATAATCAAACCCTGTTTGACATTGATAATGTTTCATTTAATATGCTTGATCTCTTGATCATAGGTGGCATCATCTTTCATGGCCATAATCTATTTCCCAGAACATGCTATTGTTATTAGATTGTTTAGTAAATTAGGCTAGCAAGTATGACTGAAAATGTTTTGTATAATGATTGCTCTAGTAATACACTAATATATTGAAGTTGGCTTATATTATCTGCAACTCAGTATAGGTGTGCTTGTCAACATCATGTACAAGTTGACTTCAGTTGTTTAATCATCACTTTTCTTCATTAAATTGTTGATATTGATTAATCAAACATTGACTTTATTTCCTTTGATAGAGGAGACAATTATTTTACTAGTGAAGACCTGAGTGAAGAGTTAAGCATTCCATTGAGATTTTTATTGAATTTATAATTCACTTTGTCTAGAAAGATGCAACTGCTATGCGTAGTTACTACCGTTTGCCTTGGTAATGGCAGATACGGTTGTGTTAGATGGTCCATATGAATAGGGGTGTAGATTACTGTATCGAGAAAATAGATGCCAATGGTCACTTGAAGTTTTGTATAAGAAAAAAGATAAAAAGTCATTTACCATCATATAGTGGAGAAATCTCAAGAGATTAATCGAGTGGAGGAAGACATTGGTGGAAGGTTCGAGCTTTATTTCTTTCTTTAAAGTTAAGTAACTTTTATTTAAGGCTCTATTTGGAAATTCAGAGAGAAAAGGAAAGAGTTTGAAGAGTAAAAGAATGAAAAAGAATTAATATAAAATCTTTCAAATTAGAAGAATTTAAAAATATGGAAGTAGTGGAGGTTATAAACTGTCTGATTTAAAATTTCCCAAACAAGGTAACTATCTTGTAAGCTTTCCCTTTCACTCTTTTCTTTCAAAATCAACTTCCAAACAAAGAATTTCTGTCTTGAATAAGATCATGATCACTTAATTTATATACCAAAAACCTGTTGTGAAGGGACTAATGTGATTTTTTCTTTTCTTTTCTGGTCAACGTGCGTGATCAGTAAATAATATGGCATGCTCACGTTGGAGCATGTATGCAATTTTGAAGTGAATTCGTGAATCATGTACGGAACTTCGCTTAAACTACCCTTCTAGTAACGCATATCATTGATGATCCGCTGTTAGGCACTAATTGCTTTCTCTTAATAAGAAAAAATGGTTAATAATAATTAGTATAAGCTGTATTTGAATAAAAAAAAGTTAAAATAGCTTGTTTATAAAAAGAAAAAAATTTCAGATGAATTATCAGTCCTCCGAAAATTACAATGTGTCAAAGGCTTTCAAATGAGCTGCTTTTACTTGTTTTTCGGTGAACTAAATTAAGCACTATTATATTTGCACATCACGTTCCAATAAATCATTTCTCTGTGTCTCGATCTTTACTCGTGATACATGTGTAACAAAATTCATGCAGATTAGGTACGGGGCAATGAGGAGGACAGACACATGGCACTAATGTCTGATTATAGTATCTGTCTCTCAAATTTGATTATTTTCTATATTTACAATGTCGGCATGTTGATGGAATAAAGCGGGGCAGCCTGCCCTCTTCCTCCTCCATTTAGAAAAGAGTTAGATTTTTTAATCCCACTTATTTAAGGAAGAACTGACATGTTAATGTGTTGATTTGTTAAATATAAAAATAAGAAAATGGCTAGTGGGCCAATAGATTAATGGCCAGCTCACTTAATATTACACAATATATATATGATTTTTATGATTTTTATTTTTAGAAAATTATTTAGTTATCAAGACCTTTAGCAAAATAAATATTAAAATAAGTAGTTTTTTTCTTCAATCAAACACAGCCTATGTTTTCATTGATCACCTATGATTGACTCATCTGTGCACTTCACAGGCCAAATGTTAGACTAACTTCAGTGGTTGATTCCAATCGATGAACAGTATTATGCATGAAGAAAGCTGTTTATGCAGCCTTGTCTATGAACCAATAAAGCAATAAGCATGCATTCATCAAAATTCCAAACCACCAATTTTTTTGAGTGGAACCCAACCCCAAATAGATGCTTAAAAAGAAAATATTCTACAAATGACCATATGATAAAGAAAAAAGTACTTCCAAGGAAAAAGGAAGTGTGAGAAGGGAAAGACAACCACTTCATAATATAACAATGACACAACTAAGAATACAAAGCAGCATGTAGTCATGAAAGACCATACAATATAAGCAGGATGGATCCTCACAATATAAGAATTTTTTTATCACAGAATCCTTTCCTTTAGATGTGAAATCTTTTTCTTTCACATATTCCAAACCCACTGAACAACCAATGGTAAGGGTATTATATTTAAATTGACCAGATAAGCCAGTTTCCATTGTCTGCCAGCAGCTTACATTGCATAAACTATTTCTCCACTGCTTTCAATATCAATATCAGGATCGGTCTCTATGTCTTCATCCATGTCGTCGTCAATATCCAAGCTACCAGTAGTAAGATACTGGTTCAAAGACTGAGTTCCAGCTGCAGGAATTGTAGCCTCACTGATTATCTGCATGATTTCTTCAATGCTCTGCATTGGTTGATCAGGCTCCTCAAACTGGTTATTCATTGTGTTCTCAACCATGAGTTCAGTCGGAAGGTTCTTCAAAAACCACTCGTGGTTTCTAATCTCGGGTATGTTTATTCTCTGTTTTACAAGGGAAATGCATAGGCTTACATATAGCAGGACTCAATTATATAAATAAAGCACATAATTTTCATTAAAATATTAAATAGGAAAACAAGCTGACCAGTGCAGGGTCTGCAACAAAGATCCTTGAGATTAGATGACAGCATTCGGGAGATATGTGAACATAATCAGGAATTGAGTACTGGACTTTCAAAATCCTCTGCAAGCAAACCCAATGGACTAAGAAAAGCAATTCAATATTATTATTGCATTGACCTAAGAAAAGGCGCAATAGATTACATGAATTGTCTTCCGGAAATTTTTAGGCTCCTCTGGATCCTCAAAAGGATATGCACCCACCAACATGACATATAAGGTCACCCCACAAGACCACACATCTGCAATCTGAATCGTAGATGAGTGGCAACACCAGTACAAAGTATTAGTAAAAAAGAGGCATAGGTAGCTTGATAGCAGTGCTTGTACGATAACATCAGATATTCAAACTTTGATGTGCAGGAAGCCTTTTCAAACCATAAATGAAAATCATACGGATTTCAAGCACCATACTATTACTCCCACAGTCCCACATTTATCAACTTTTTCCTCCTCAAGGTCCAGCACCACTCAACAAAAACACACAAATAAAAAGGAATGAGAAGGAAAGAACCCTTCACACTGGGGAATCATGAAAGAGATTGCAATGAGTCTTAAATATGAAAGGATATTCCAATTTTCACTCTTGGTTTTCTCCTTTTCTATGGTAAAAGTGGTGCTGAATATTCAGGTTAAGGAGAAAGGAATTACATTGATCATTCTTCTATTCTTTCCCCAGTTGATAACCAAACATATCAACTCCATTCATCAACCAAAGTCTAGCACTCACCAAATTATATGAAACAAGTGGCATGTGACTAAAAAGTGACAATCCAATTAAATCCCTGGTCATTGCAGAATATATCCTTATAAATTTTCCCAAGGTGACACCTAGAGCAGTAGAGCTTTCAGTTTCTTGACATTAAACTGGTAGATTCTATAGGCATGGAACCAACTAGCAGTTGGTTGTGGTCATAAATGTAAACTTACGAACTGAAAGTTAGAAGGAAAGCATAAAAGGTCTGAATATGCCATTAACATAAACAAAATATGCCAAAACACAGAACTTTAATTAAAACATCTCAATATGAAGTTCTCTAAATTTTACTAGTTGGGTGAATTTTCTTCAGAGCACAGAAATTACAAAATACCTTGCCATCATATTCCTTCTTTAGCAAAACTTCAGGAGCGATGTATGCAGGGGTACCAACTGTAGATTTTGGTTGTGAATGTAGCACCGAGGACTGCAAAATTATGACCGTGAAAATTTGTGTCATATCATAGATATCACAAGTGAATCCACCTAAGTGAAAATAACTTTCCAAACAGTGCTCGGTTCAAATGTGATTGGAAAGAGCCGGAATACCAGTACCATAAACATGATGGTATCGACAGAGAAAAGCAATATGAAGAAAGAAGCATACCTTTGAATATCCAAAGTCACAAATCTTCAAACGAGGAGCTGGACTACCATCCAACAATGTGTTCTCCAATTTCAAGTCACGATGGCATACTTGCTTTATTAACGAAGATAAATAGATACATTCAAGTCAGACATCTCACTATATCTTATAGCCAGCAAATGCACTACTGTAAAAGTAAAGACCAAATATGCTGAAATTATGTACCATTGCATGACAGTAGCTAACCCCTGATATAAGTTGCTGAAAGAAAAAGCGTGCCTACAGCATAACAGAATGGGCATTAATGTTAAGCAGTAGCTGCAACAAAAATGCATGAACCTGAATGCAATGGCTACCAACCTCATCTTCACTGAACCGTCCTGCATTGCATATTCGCTCAAATAGCTCTCCTCCAGAAGCATATTCCATCACAATAGCCAAATGTGTTGGGGTCAATATGACCTATACTCAGAAAATATGAGAACTAATTAGAATACAACTCAGGTAAGCATAAATAGGATCAGATATTGGGGGTCAACAGAGTACAGATTACAAACCTCCTTGAACCTGACAATATTGGGATGCCTCAGTGATCTGTGATTTATAATCTCCCTTCGTACATTTTCATCTATCTGTCAAGAAAAAAAACCATGGTTGAGCTCAATATCAAGCAAAGCAAGGAAAATCATAAGCACATAACTCCTTCCAAAATTCAGTTAACTCTACTCCATAGTCCACAGATTAGCACGCAAAATCCAATGAGATTAACTGACAAGAAGAACTAAGTTTCCTGGTATTGGGGAATGAACGTGTACGTGAGACTTAGTTAGCTCATGCAAACATGTGCTAGGATGGGACCAAGTAGCTATGATACACCTTTAGTTATCAGGTCTCATTTACTGCTGAGAAGCTCTGCCATCAACCTCGTTGTAGCATTTCTACTTTCAATTTAAACACCACAACCAATGTTTAGAATTATAAATTAACGAGGCACATGGCGCGCCTAATTAAGCCATTCATTTATACTTTAGATTAAACTTAATACTGAGCTCAATTTACAGGTAAAGAATGAAAGCAACTTCAAAAAAAAAAAAAAAAAAAAAAAAAAAAAAAAAAAAAAAAAAAAAAAAAAAACCACCACCACCTAAAGCATCAATTCCATCAGAGGCAAATACAAAGAATCCAACAAATCGCTTGAATACTAATAACCCAGTTGCCCAAATTCCACGCACACACACAAAAACCAAAATTTGAAAGAAACAAGAAAAGAAAAAATATATATATTTTTTAAAAAAAAGAAGATACAATTTAGGCTCAAACCTTATCACCTCTCTCAATATACTTGACAGCAACAAGCTCCTCAGTGTGCTTGTCTCTCATGAGCCTTGCCACCCCAAAATTCCCAGAGCCAATATCACGAACCAGCTCATACCTGTCACTGTCATGCATAATGGGCATGTCCATTCCTGGCCCAACAGTGATCGCAGAACGATCCATCTCCACGCTTCACAAATCCCACCTTTTTCTTATTATTATGCACCAAAAGCCTCAACTCTCACATTGAAATATCCACCACCCAGATCAGATCTTCGCAAAACAAAACGTGGGTCGTTGCAGGAAATGGGTGAAGAAAGAGTTCAAGTTAAAGTGTGTGTGTGGTTGGTGCTCGTGAAAAGGTTTCAACTTTCACCAACCCAACCAAATGGGGATTTTATTTTCAGAAGTTGAATTTTGGAAGTTGCAGGTGCAGAGGGTCGGTGATACGCTCGTGAACGTGAGGGAACCCTCTTTCCTTCTCTCTCTCTCTCACTCCAAAGTTTATCTTTTTGATTTTATCCAAAACCTGAGAATCTGAGATGCATGAGACAGCATTTTTTTTTTTTTATTCGTTTTACAGCACTGCCAATGACCACTTTATCTTTAAAGACAACAACACTGTCTAATCTACTCTTTTGGGGGTTTTAAGTGGGATTTAAGACAGAGCTGAACCAAACAAATAAAAATAATACTTCCTTTCTTCGTAATAAATAAAATAGAGTATTCTTTTTATCCTAATTATAATAGATTTAAAATATAATAATTATTAAATTTTTTATATTTTTATTTATTAAATGTATATTTATAAAACAGTGACTATATTAAATACATACTTAATATTAAAAATATTTAAAATAAAATTTATATTTATAAAAAAAAATATAACTGATTTAATCTGTTAATTTTTTTATAAAAAAGACCAAAAAAATAATAAATAATAAAAAATTTTGTTTAGAATTATTATATAATATACTAATATTACATAATTGATATAATAAATGATACTTGTATAAAACTATTTACACTTTTAATGAATTTAAACTATTTTTTAAAAAATAGACGAGAGTTTAAATAGTTATATTATCAGTATATTTTAGTTAAAATTATAAAAAAAAAATCATATAAGTATTATTAGAAAAAATTTATGATATTTCTGAAAATTATGGATTTCAATATATTTAGTAGATAAATTAATGAAGAATATATTTCATATATTATATGAAATATTTTTTAAAATATCATTTTAACAGTTTAAAATTATATAATAATTTAAAAGACTTATTTTATAAAATTAATAAATTAAAATGGATTTTTTTTTAAATTATCTAACCCTCTATTATCTCAAATAAAGTAAAATAATTAAATACATAACATAACTATCAATGTTCCGTACAGGCTTACTCAGCACTCAGCCGGATTATGTCAGAGTATCTTTTTTTTTTTTTTTAATCACTGATTATTTGCCTGTGAATCACTATAACCTGTGATTTACAAACATATTAATTAACCCTAACCTTCTTGTTTAAACAAAAAAAGTACTCAATGAAATAATTTGAGTAACACGAGATTTCTTTTTCTTATTATTTTAAGTTGAGTAGATTCTCTTGTCAGTATATTTATAAGGTAATGCTAATCCTTTTTAACTAATACAGTACGATATTAGCTAAGAAGAAATTAATATGCTTTTTAAATATTTTAAATATGGTTTTCTTAATATACTTTTAAAGATGTATGATAAAAAATTATATATGTAATTTATTATAAAAATTTATACAATAGTATTTTTTTGGTCTTTTAAAATATATTTAAATTTAATTTTACTCTTTAATTACTATCAAATTATGACATTATTAATTTAAATATTGTCACGTTGTTCCATCTCCTATTTCTTAAAAAGGTTAGAGTAACTAAAATTAGTAATTTTTTAAAATGTAAGAGATTGAAAAAACATATTTATAGGACAAAAATTAAATTTTAATATCTTTTGAGAAATAAAAATATATTATAATTTTTAATGTGTACTTAGAGATATATATTAAGAAATCTTAAATATACTCTACTGAATAATTACAATTAACATAAAAAGTATTTTGAGAGAATAAATATATTTTAATTAAAAAAATTATTTTTAACTTTTTAACAGTTTTCCTCCAGCACAAAACAATGAAAATATATTTAAACTCACAAGATATTACAAAATTAAAAATATTGATAAAATTAAATATTATAATTTTTCATAAAAATAAATTATTTATTAATTTTTTATTATGTGTCATTAGATTATGTTAGAAATTTATTTTAAATATTTAAAAATTATATAATAAATAAATTTTGTTTGGTACATATTTTGACAAAATTACACTTTTTGTCCTTTAACTTTAAGATAAAATTCACGTTAGTCCTCTAATTTTTGTTTGGTTCAATTTAGTCCTTTAAGTTTCATTTTTTTTCCACGTTATTCCTTTTCGTGACAACCATTAGAGAACGTAACAAAAGTATCCTATGTGACACTAACGACGTTTATGTTATCCTACCTGGACCTATAAAAGAAGTCTGAGTTGGAAGTCATTCCACATAGAGATTGTAGTTACATGAAATATACTTCAGAGAAGAGGGAAACGGTCACTGTGTTATAGAGGGAATTTGAGATATTAAAATCAAAAAATCAGTTCGCAAAGCAAAATATTGAAAATCTATCAAAGATTATCTGACTTTCTTATTAGAAAAAGGTTGAAATTTTGAAGTAGAATCGAACATAAAGGTTATCAGGTATATTTTTATTTCTGAAATTTCTTCTGTGCATGTGTTGGGCATAATATTTTGTTTGCTTTTGTGAGGTTATAAGAGTTAGGGTATTGTTGAATATTTGAAAGATTTCATTTTTTGAAATTTAGATTTCGTTGTTATTACATTTTTTGGGTCATAAGAGATGGTAAAATTTTGCGTAGAAGTTCACCATGGTGGGAAGTTTGAAAAGTCATGAAAGACTAAGTATGTTGGAGGTCAGACAAGTATTTAGGATTGTAAAGTATAACGTCTCGAATTTTATAATATTGTTTAATTATTAAAGTATGTATATATATATATATATATATATATATATATATATATGTGTGTGTGTGTGTGTGTGTGTGTGTATATGTATACAGGCTAAGTATGGATGTTGTTGTAGGGTATTCTCGCTATAGCGAGAGGGCCTTGGGCGTGAGGCATGAAACTGTGTCGTTCTCACTGTAGCGAGAAGGCACTGAAAGAGAGGGGTTAAATTGTTGCCTTGTCGTTGTAGCGAGAGGTTCCTCGCTGTAGTTACAAAGCCACAGTTTGGGCTGTATTTCTGGGTGCATTCTTACTGTAATGAGATTCTGCAGAAATCAGGGTGTAGTTTTCTTTGATATTTTCGCTATAGCGACAAGAGGCGTCGCTGCAGTAAGAGATACCTCGCTGCAGTGAGAGTGTCTCGCTGTAGCGAGAGTGTCCCGAGCAGAGGAGTATTTGAAGATGTTAGGGAAATTCATTTCACATCTTCCCTCTTCAAAATCTATTTGATTCTCTCAACCCAAAACCTTTTTCCACCGATTAAATTGCCTCCAAAACCGTTCATGAGCTAGATTCAAGGTTGAATTCGTGTTGGGAACGCTTGGAGGTGAGTTTTAATTGTTAGGGTTTATGGTTTCTCATCCCTATTCACTATTTTCTCGATTTTCCTTAGTTCTCATAGGTTTCTTCTATGTATTTAGGGCAAAATTCGTGTGGGGAAACATATCCTTGGTTGAGTTTGTGCATGGGTCTTCAATTCGAGGTAAAGGGGGACTCTACCCTATCTCCTCGTGTTTGATTTTCATTTATTTTTTTAAATATTGTAATGTGGCTGAGATAGAAAGTAAGAAACATGTGTTTTAATGGAGATTATTGTATATTTGAATGCAATGTGATGTGTGATAAGTTGAACCACTATGGGTGATTGGGTATTATGAAATGTCATTGATTGATGATTTAATAAATATAAATGAATATGGGTCTATGTACCGTGTACTGTAAATAAATGTGGGCAATGTGTGTCATATAAGAATATGAAAATGTATGTGAATGGGGCGTGTTGGACGCCGTTGGAATGATGCTATGGATAGTTCAGCGATACACTAGAGGTGTGGAAGATGAGGATGGTAGAAATACCTTGGGAAAAAGAGTGTGGTGGTGACACCAACAGTAAGCGTGGGTGCACCACGGGCCACATACTCTCCTCATAACTAGACCTCTGACCACTACCTTTGCCAAGTGACTCGTGACTGCCCACGTGGTATCAGTGAGGCGGGAGTAACTGACGACCAACTATGGTGTAAATCTGTGATCACAATGCCACAGTGAGTGTGGCTGCGTGCAGTGAATGCACGCATGTAAAATGTTTGGTGCTGTGAGTGCATCGGTTATGAATTGAAATGAAATGATTGATAGTGTTGCGTGATAACCACGTCGCAATGGTATCAAACAAGCTAGATTTTCTCAAAAAAAAATTTGTGCAATACAAGAAGCAAACCTAGGTCATCTCTCAAGGACATAAAATGCATTTTATTTTTAGTTCCATCATGCAATTTCAAATTAGATTGGGGGAGGATTTGTTTTGAATTTAAACGACAAAATAACAAAAACAAAAATTAAGGATTATGAAATTCAACCAATTCAAGATCTCAATCCCTACAATGCAATTCTCGTCGTTCACACAAATATAATCCCAACGAATTTCCAATCACACTAATTCAATGCGCATCAACAACCCTAAAATCTAAATCTAGATTATGAATTCCATCAAAACAAGAACCGCAATCGCAAATCCAATGCTTTAACGAAATTTAGAACAATTGATTGATAAAATTAGGTGAATCTAATTAATTCAAATATGAAATTAACCTATTCTTTCTATTTAGGATGCAACGAAAATTCCATATCATGAAAAACGTAATTAACCTAATTAGAAAATAGGAAGGAAAGGAGGAAATCGATAAAACATATTTTGAAACTCGAATGCAATGCAATTTTTGAAACCTTGAACCGGTTGATGAATTAGCCTTGCTTCATAATCATGTTGCTCGACCAATTAGAGAAGGGGATGAAGTTTCAGAAAATAAAAGAGAGGGAGACGAGAGAAATCCTTACGAAAGCTTTTTATTTAAAATTCTGAAAATTAAGGCAAAAAAGAGGGAAGAAGATCCCCACGCGAAATCATAAACCCTATTTAAAGACAAAATAATTGGGCTTAATTAAGGCCCAGCTTCCTAACGAGGTTCCTAAAACCCTAATTAAGTAATGTCAACAATAAAACCAAATTCTGAAAAATTCATTGCAGGACCGCAACATTGTGACGCAGTTTTGGGCCTGAAGATGTTCGAACTGGGCTTTTCTCGCAACAGAGAAGTTGTAGATCTCTCTCTTATCTTTCCAGGGACACCAATTTTGTCCAATTCTGAGTAGTGTAGCTCCAGATATGGTCTTTTCAAGAAACTATGTCAAAACAAGAATTTATGGCGGGAATTAAGAAAGATTTAAA